TATATGTAATTTAAAAATTACTAAGTATTTAGAGAAATTGCTTTGCGATCCCTAAGATCTGCTATGTGTGTGTCATTGATAGATAACCACCAATATTTTTTAAAATTTAATCTGTGGAAATCCATAAAATCAACCACAGGTATTATGAAAGAGAACTTAAAGTTATTACTATCTAGATTAAAGTCTGAGTGTCGGAACGCTATTCTTTTATTAGCTTTGTTCCTTCTTCAATAGTAAATGAGATTTATATTACAACCATTTTGAATTAGTCCTAATTTATCACAGTGAATGAAAGCTTGAGGTGATAGATATCCGTTAGATAATTGTCTTTGTGAAACAATGGGGTCAGGTATTGAGAGATCATATATGACGTTATTTTTTATCAATGGTAACTTACTAAAATAATCTCTAGTAAGCTTAATTATAAATGAATGAATCCTCGGGATGTCCGCCTTGTCGTATATTGTTTTATTGTTGACATAATGTTGCCAATCAGAATGTTGTGATCTATACATTCTCAAGCAACCTCTCATGCATTTTCTCTCAAACATCCATAAACTCTCCATTACTGTATGGTTGCAACTCCACCAAATGGGTGCCGCATAGGTTAAAATAGGTCTAATTAATAGCATGTATAATATAATCTTAGTTTTGACAGAAAGATGCTTATTATAAAAAATTCTGCAGTTAGATTGAAATGCTAATTTGGCTTTTTCTAGTTGGACATCTATATGCTTGTTACCTCTAAGTAGATAATCTATATGTCAGATTCTTGAATATGAGCTCAATTGACCACGGGTTGCAGAATGGATGCAAATGATTATATATCGAATTGGGATTACTCGCCGGATTCTCTCTACTGAATTGAGTTATGGTGTTTACCAGATCTCTAGATATCTTGAAATTATTCTTAATGGATTCCGCTGTCTCATCTATTAACTGTTTGTGAGGAGTGTTACTATTGAGATGTCGGGGAGAATTAATTGTTTCATAAAAAGCTCCTATTATATTTAATTTATCCTGAGGGGCTGTAAAAACATAATCATTCCCTATCTTATGAGCTTTATTCATATCACATTTGCTTCTATTTAATATGTTAAAATCATTGACTTTAATTTTCAAGTTTTCAATATTCGAGAACTGCTTGGCTCGACAGATGGCATTAATTTTAGGGAAAAAGGCATCCTGCTTGCTGTAATCAATTTGTTTAATTTTATTACTCCAATACTTATCTGTAGAAATTTTCAGTTCAAGTTGTAAAGCTTTTCTGGTATCTATTAGGGCTGATTTGGCGATTAGCGAAATTGGTCTATTTGAGAGCGGGTCAGATATATGAAGGTCGTGCAACACGGAAACAAGATAACTCTTAATTTTCAAGAGCTTGCGGATATTATGGTTTAAATATCTTTGTACACTCTTGTCCTGTTTGAATTTAGGTATATTGTTAACTATCGCCTCGTAAATAACACTATTGATGTTATTTAGGTTGTCATCTATCTCAGTTATTGAAAGATTACGATCATTCGGGATGTTACTGTTGTAATCCCTTCCAAGCCTTCTGGTGAACTTATGCCATTTTGTGGCTTTGAAATTAAACCGGTAACGGTCTGGTACGGGGTTCCAAAGAGGAGCATTATTGATAGAAAGTTCAAAAGACATAGCTATTGCAGCATGATCGCTGTCATAAGGTAAAGTATTTGCTTTTCCATTTATGGAATTACTTAATTTAAGCCTAGCGTCTGCTATACAAATATCTAGGAATGAGTTAGCAGGTTTGAAGGTGGGTCCCGAGGATGTAATTATTCTTATTCTGAATGCTATTCCAAAGCTATCTTCCCATTGTTTCATATACCTACCTCTCTGGTTATCTAATCTGTCACCCCATGCTATACGTCTAGCATTAATATCACCAGCTATTATGAAGTAATTATTATCATCCTGTAATCTTAAATTACTAAAAAGATTAAATAGCTCTTTGGAGAAAAGCTTTCTATTATCAAATTTGGCATAAATACTTACTAAAAATAAGTTCCCACTATTACTCAATATTATCTTAATTATAGTATATTCTAGAATCTCATTTACCATTGAAGTTGGATAAGAGATTCTTTCAAAAGGAATATTCCTTTTGATAATTATTGCTGTTCCACCACCTTGCTTTGCATTGGGCCTGTCCGTTCTTAAAACGTGGTAGTTCTTAAAAGAGATCTTATATCTAGCATTAAGTTTAGTTTCCGAAATAAGTAGGGCATCATGACTATATTCTTGTAAGAACTTTAATAAATCTAATCTTCTAGAATTAGAGATTATGGAATTGACATTAATTGCCGCTACTTTGATTTCATTATTCAGAATTGCAGTTTGACTCATACTAATTGGTGAAAAGCGTATTTAAAATGTATTCAATATTGTTTGTATTGGAAGCAATCTGCGCAGCAAGTGTCTGCATTTGATTAGACAAAAGCGTCGTTAATTCGTTCTTAAAATCTAATACCCATTTTGGAGGAAGCGATGGTTGTTGTAAATTGTCCATTAGTGGTTCATTTCTAGATGGAGCAGTATTGGTAGTCTGATCTTCAATCCCCCTCTGCGTTGGAGTAAACTTGTTTGATAAGTCGGCTTGTAATCCAGAGGTTGCTTGAGCATAAGATATACTACTTCTCACATTGCTAGCTGGACTTCTAACCTTCTGTATCGTGTTTCTCTGAGTGCTTGTATTGTGAATTTTCTTTTGCTCTAATGCAAATTTAATAAATTGGCATCCCTTATAGGATGCTGGATGACCTGTTTGGTTGCAATTAGCGCATTTAAGAGCAGCTCTATTGTCCTTATCAGTATAGGGCATCTTCCAGGATCACGTGACTGCGCACATTTCACACATCTAAATTTAAGCGAGCAGTTTTTGCTCGCATGTCCCAATCTTTGGCAATTTTTACACTGAAAAATTGCCTGACGTTTTAAATGTTCCCACTTGATCCTTTGGTAAGCCAGGGTTTTAATCTTGAACAGTTCTGCAGTTTTACTCTCAGCAGAAACCTGTATAATGTAATGAAATCTGTCTGGGTCAGCCTCGTTCTAATTAAATTTGCTGAGTTTAATGATTCTGAGATTGGGTAAGTTAAACTCTTCTATCTCATTTTTAATTTCCTCCACACGGAAATTTCCCTTAATGCCTTTAATAATAAGTGATTTAGGCTTTATGTTCTTCGGGGTGAACGTGTAATGCTGTACATTATCTTCCTTCAATTTGTTAATTATCACTTGGTGATGCTCCAATTGATTAATACACTGGGCGCCAAAATTAAAGCATCACTAAAATCTGCCGAAAATATTGGTTATCTTCAGATGCCTATATCTTCGCTAAAAATAGCTATAAAAAATATTGTAACAGAGCATTTTGTAGCCCAATGTTTCTAGTCTTTGAATCGGGAATTCAAAAATTATTTTCATGTAGTTTATTCCTTCTTTTTTAAAGATGAAGCGCAGTAAGCGAATGTTAAAAAATGTTGGTCAAGTTTGAGAGGATGCATGGGCCAAATGAAATTTTTTCTCGTAATTCCAATGGAATACTTTTAAAAAGCAAACTTTTCTCTTTAATTTCGTTTTTTTAATTTTGTTGTACAGTCTTTATTGGCCGAGTTATTCGTCATCATATAAGAAACGGTACTTTCCACTTTGAGCGCCTGTAACTTGCGAACGCATGATCGTATAGAAAATTCCAGAAGTAATTTGGAAAGCTGAGAGATTTCTCTTTAAAGACCTTTAGTTGCCAATTTGTTGAAATTTTTGTTCGTCGTCTACAGTCCATTTCAAAATAACGTAAAATATTGCATAATTACCATTTTTCACAAAACACGATGCCATTTTAACAAAAATTGTGGAATCTTCCAGGTGTCTACGTTTTTTTTAAGTTAAAAGTACACGTAACCCCTGTACCAAAGGCCGCATTCATCAGATTTTTTTTTACCCTGTGCCCTCGATAGTGAAACTTGCGATACAGTCTGAAAAATTGGTGAATGACTCTTTTGCGGTACGTTTCCTCTTTAAAACGATTTCGCAGCGTTTGAACTGTTGTGGTCTGTGTCTTCTTAGTTTCACGTTATTTTAGAAGAAAGTAGAGATGTCAGAAATTTAGCAAACACATTTTTAAACAATCTCTTCGCAATGACAAAAGGTGCACAATATTGCCGGCATTAGCATTATCTAAGGCGTACCACGAGGAGGTTACACTGTCGGATTTACGCTTCACTGCGTATGTACAAGCATGGAGAGATGGGACCCTGTGGTTCGTCACTCCCACAGTATTTTTTGACTCCAAACTCACTCTCCGATGCGTGCGTGCGTGCATGTATGCGTATGTAGTGTTTAATAATGGGTATTACGGCATCTCCGGTTGATTACTTCTTTTAACCGTTTGCGCATATTAATGCACCTCCGTATGATTGACTATGGTATTCTTCGCCAAATTTGGCGGAGGGCGTGCGCTAATTGCCCTAAATTCGCCAAGTCTGGGTATTGCTGTCGCAACCGACGCCCAAGAATATCCCAAACATGTTCAATGGGATTTTAATCTGGGCTCACTGGTGGATGGTCAAGAACTGGTATTCGATTTTTTTGAAGAAAATGTTTCGTATAGCGTGCAACATGGGGCCTTGCATTGTCCTGCATAAGCAGAAAGCGGTTGCCCATACGCTGACGCAGAGGGAGCACAACGGGGCGCAAAATCTCGTCCACGTACCGCATGGCGGTCAAACCACCACGTGAAAGAATAACTAGCGGTGTACGTGAATACCGCGATACTCCGGCCCAAACCATAACGGATCCCCCATGAGACGCGGTGATCGGCCTTGTATGATTGGCATCGTAACGTTCGCCACGACGCCAAACATGTTCCCGTCGGTCGCTCCCTCGGAGGCAGAATCGGGACTCGTCTGTAAAAAGGACATTTGTCCATTGACGCTGAGACCAGCGTATGTAACGACGAGCATAAGCTAAACGCTGCCATCGATGTCTAGCAGTTAGCAACGGGACTCGTACCGGGCGCCTCGAACGTAAGCCAGCCTCCCTCAATCGACGCCTCACGGTGTTGTTAGAGATCGTGCGTGGCGGGTTTTGCCTGCGGTTCGAAATTTGTTCCGCAATAGTGCGTGCGATAACAAAGGGTTCCCGAAGAGCACGTCGCGTAATTGCTCTGTCGTCTCGAGAACTGGTCGCGCGTCTGCGTCCTTGCCCCGATCTACGGACATACTCCTCAGTCTCTCTAAATCGAGCATAGACACGGCTCACAACTGACTGGTTTACACCAAGAACATTAGCAACCTGTCGTTGGCTGCAACCTTCCTCCTGCAAAAGTGTTACCAGTCGACCAATTTCGTAATCAGAGAGGTGACACGTCTAGGCATAATAAAGTGCTTAAAGAAAGAGAAAAGGTGTGAAAAATTTGCTAAGAAAAAAATTTCGATAAGAATAAATAGAGGAGGAAACTGAAGGATTTTATGGAATTGCTAAAAAGAAGAAAAAAAATCCTTGATGCAATTACTGCAAGACCAGTTCTAATGAGTATCCACTCACGCTCGCGGTTCGTCTTATCAAGTTGTGGCTCGCAAGCCTCAACTGTGAGAATCGTCGCGGC